CTGGTCTTAAAGTGTTAAACAAGTTTTTCACCATGAAATGAAAATATCACTTACATATATGTTTCTATCAAGTCCAAATGAAATGAAAATATCACTTACATATATGTTTCTATCAAGTCCAAATGAAATAGTTTAATGAAGTACATACTTCTATATAAAGTATAATGTATATGTACATAACAAATATGAATATAATGCAGAAGACTTACAATCGTCTCCTACAGGACCAGCAGAGCACTGCGCAGGTGGATCTCTACCAAGGTCCTGAAGTTCCTAAATATGAAAAGAAATTTTAATAACAATGCAAGTTTAACAACAAAATTATGTAATATGAATTTATACGATTATACAAATGCTAACAAATGAACGAAACACTTAAAAATTTATGCATACTTCCATATTTGATAAAACTATGTGTTATTTATTTTGCTATAAAAACAAATTTGTTATTTATGAGTTTCTAATATAGAAATAACACCAAATGATGATATTGTAATACTTTTTTCCCATATCAATATTTTATTATACTAATTTTCATTTCCATGCAATATTTATGCAAAATTATGAAGATTCAAAATAAGCAACTTGTTTCTTGGAAAGTTATCATGTTTGAGTTGTGCTATTGTTGTAGCAAATGAATGATATGGTGTTTTCATATATCATTTTTCAAAAATAAGAATATACTCTATAGTGATATCCTTATTTCATTAATTGCATCATAATCTTTTAAGTAAAGAAATCTCTACATATATACACATATATATTGAAATGAGATATAGAATGCTTTGAGACACGTGTAAATAAAATGTTCTAGAACATTCTAAAGTATCAGCATACAATAGACAAGCACTAGATCAATTTTAATGTTCTCATGACATGGTGTTCAAAGTATATAAAATAATATTATAATTTATACACAATGTATCCTAAAAACATAATAGAAACTAAGTTATCCATGTACCAAATATGTAAAAATTATTGAGATAATTGCTTAAAGCTATCATTAATAAAAAGCTAGGATAAATGAAACTTAATTTAAGCATTACAAGCAAAATCAATAAAACTGCAATAATCAAATGAACCAGTTATATTGAATGTTATTCAATACGCATAACGAAGCCAGACAATAGCATGTGTAAAGTACAAGCATATTACTTATATTACATAGAAGCAGATAAATGAGTATACAAGTAGAGTTTGGAAAGAAAACATGGCAACTTGTATTATTCTATGCGATCATTCGAAGCATGCTAGGTCTACAGGTTCCTACTCCTTCATCTCTGTACTGTGAATGATGGTTCGACTGGAAAATATTGTAAAGACTGACAGACCAGACCACTGGCATGCGTCATGTAATATCAGTCCTGAATGATTCACTTTATATCACTAACGTGTCCTATAGCCACATGGTGAAAATCACGGTATGCATTGAAACAAAATAACTGGTGGTCACTGAAAAATTCATGGTGTCATGTTTTTTCCACAAGTGGACTATGAATGCACTAATGAAATTTTCGTAATTTCTGAGTTATCTATAGCTCCAAGCATATATGTATATGTATATAGATGTATGTAACGCACGGTTTTACGTTACTTCCGGTAATTTATCGGCTAGCCACTTAAAATTTTTTTTTAGATTTTCACTGTCACCGTAGCTATATCCACTAGCACAAAGTGGCACTGTGCTGCGTGCGCAATGCACTATGTCGACATAAACGCGTACGCAAATAAATCAAAGCACAATCGAAGAATGCAAAAAAACGAGGAAAAGCCAACATGATTTTCAATGCTGGCTCACATTGCTTCACTGCAAAATCGTTAAGGGCGTTCAACCGCATTCGGCACACATCACATCAACACCCGACTGTCTTTGTACTATACGAACACCGCCAACCATCCACGTACCTTATTAATTCGTTTTAAAGCCATTTGAAGAACTGTGTGTTGATATTAACTGGCTGAAAACCAGACAGCGATAGCCGCTAGCCGAAGATCTTTGATTAGGGATTGCAAGATGGCTGCCTTCTAAACGTAGTCCTACTGCGCTCGTCAAACCAAACACCGTAAACTTATTCTTCCAGTACCTCTTCTACATTCAAGTAAATTATTCACACTCGAGTCTATTATTATTTTAAGAGCTAAATTTTATGACGTGAACGTTTCAGAAGAAAATCGTATCTTTGCGCTATCTCGCAGAACTTTTATTGTGAAATCAAGTCAGAGCCACTGCGGATTTCCTTTTATCGGCAACTAGTGGATTTTTAACATTATACCGCCCTTCGTCGGTAGATGTCGCAACGAAAGTTATGAACTATTGGTCAATGCGCGTGATTGAAACTTATTCTGTACTTCATATTCGCATGCATGTAAATATCTATACATGCTGGGTATTTATGATTTCATAAATTCAACGATGACCGTACGAATTTCAAATATTGCACGGAGTCATCAAACTACATAGGTCTGTATAGTTTTTAAAAGTAAGTACGGAATGAAACTCAATTTCTAACGACGAAAATCGTATTCTGTGATGGATGATTGAAAGAGAAAGTAATGAAAAGAGAAAATAGTTTATCATGAATTTCCTAAATTACAAAGCATTTATGTACGACTAAATATTATATGAATCTATTATAATCGAAACAGGAACATTTAATATCCAGAATACTTACAGTGAAACAATGTATTTACTTTATTTTAAACCAAATTTACAAGTATTCTAGTAGTCGACCTTCCATTTATTGACTTAATATCAGTTATTTCCATAATGAATTTTGCCATCTCCAGGGAAAAAATTGAATTTATTTAAGTTCATTAATCTTGCCTTTTACTTCTCTTCCAATATGCACTGGTACACCATTTTGTTGCAAGATGACTAACGTGTCAACAAATGGAAGGTCAACAACTGAAACATTAACTGTGAATTTAATATAAAATCAAAAGTAGATGAAAACGAATAATTATTTTATTTTTAAAATGGCCTACTGTATTAAGTAACTTTTGTTGACTATTTCAACGGACACCACGTATATCAACTTCGCTTTGTGCGTATAGCAAAACAAAACAAACAATTCCAACACCAATTATAATGCGAGGTTAGGTAGAACCAAAAAATTTACAAGTGTCATTGTTTGTAACGTAAATTCCCCTTGTCATTTTCACGCTACACGATCATTATGGCCGAAGAGAAGAGAAAGATGAAAGGATGCTACTGTATCCGTCAGAAATTTCAGATGCAACAACAAAAAAAGAAAGAACAATGTAAGAGGAAGAGACAGGTACTCGTATATAACCCTGAAGAGGAATCGTGGCACGAACCGTACATGAGAAACTTGCGAAAGGAGTTCTCGGATGTGTCTATATTGTGCGATTCGAAAATCGAATTGCCTTGGAGAGATATCGCGTTACCGGCTGCCGGCATGAAAATTCGTCAAGAGGTTTCGTTGACTCCTTTAAACGACCACCAGGAGCAACCTGGCGACGAGGACGCCGGGATACAACCGACGGCAGAGGAATCCATGGGTACTATGGCTTTGCCATGGAAAGATTTGGTGATAACTGAAACCGTACAGTCGAAACAAGCTGATCCCGAGAGTTGCGATTCGACGTTAGAAATTCCATGGAACGATCTCGTCCTCGAGAGACCCATTGAAATACGAGCACCGTCCGAAGAAGCTTGCGACAACGATGACGTGGAAATTCCGTGGAATGACATTTTGATACCGCGAAACATAGTCATCGAGTCGCAGAAAAAGAAGAAGCATCCATCTTCCAAATACCCACCGCGCCCGTTGTCAGCCACGGGGTGTACTAACTGTAAGAGATGTTGCGCGACTGTAGGAAATGGAATGAGATCTGCGGCCTCTTGTAAATAATTCACGAAGATGGCAGAGAAACTGGACAAAATTGTTATCTTGCTATACTTGTTTGGAAATATCTCGTTTTCATAGGTATTTGCAATACTTGCACCGTACAGAATGTAATATCGGGTGAACTGTATTTTGAAACACATGGAGATGGTTGTTGGAATATTTTGTTTGGAACGTTTCAAACTTGTAAACATCAAAATACAAAAAAAATTGTAATTTAAATTCAATTCTTTTAAAATTAAAAGGTAATAATGATCACTATTTTTATAAATACTGTTGGGAGCTGGGGTTTCTCTTCGCAACAAAAGATCAATTATTACAAAACTTTAAAGCACTGTATCTTAATACTTACAACTGACTCTACATAATTTAACACAATCAAAATTCATAATAACCCATAAGGTGTAAGTTTTGTAAATAATCACCCTTTGTTTTGTTTATCTAAAAACTTAATTAAATTGCTACATTTCGAAAACTTGGAACAATTCGATCGAAATCCTTTAATTATGTATACAGCGCAGAACTTGCGACAGTTGATATTGCTTTCGCTACAATAAGAGGTCAAACGACAGTGCTGGTGAAACATCGAATCGTTTGTCTAGAAGGACAGTTTATACCCAGTAGCATCGAGAAATGTCGTCCGTGGGAATTCAGCCGCGAAATAAAATTATTCGCCGTGTAAATAATCATGTGTCAATATTGTTGCATGCGTAAAGTATTAAACCGCCGTTGCTAATAACCGTCTAGGCGTAGTTAATGCGATGTTCAACGTACATTGAAAAAAAAACAAACTGTTCAGACGTAATACGATTATCAATTAATGAAATGAAATACAGTACTATACGTTCCATTTCAGATACTGTAGAATCATTTGTTCGCATCCAACCTGTATTAAAAGACTCACAATCGTAAAATATAAAAAAAAGCAGTTACATTACGTAAGGCTTCATGACTCCAAGGGCGCCCAGAATTTTTTTCATTGAGTTTATTTTTAACTGATCGAAGTCATTTGATGGGTATTCTGATATTCTCGTACCGAGGACGGAAATAATCTCTTAGAGAGAAATAAAAAAGTAAGAGTTTCATCGAGTAGGTGGATCCCATCTTTTATCGTTTTATTTCTATTCAAAAACAAGTAGCGATACGTAGAAAAATTGATAAAAAAGTAAACAATGTTATTACAGGAATCGCGTTACCAACAATGGTCACGGTTGTAATTCCAGACTGACCGAGTCGTGTCGCTAGCGTCGCCAAACAGTACGTCGCCATGATTATTGTCCGGTTGGCGATCGTGATTGGCGGCAGTCGGCATTTGCCTGTAGACGCGTGCGGTGGTTTGTCCGTAAAGCAGTCGAGTCGTGAACTGCACATTGAAAATGGCGTAGTAAGGTGGTATAATGCGTAACCCGTACCATGTAAACGTATCGCGATAAGTTTTAATCAGTGTCCAGGCGTTTGCTATTTAACTTTCCGAGCATTCGTAACGATACCGTCCAACCGAGAGCATTGTGGTTAATTCGATTGATCATTTTTACTTATAGCAACGTGAAAAGTGTGTTTGTGTGTTGGTGACTCGTACTGTGATTTGACAACGGATGTGTTCGCGTTCACCGTAACGTTACATGGCTCAAAGGAAGCGCACAAGCATCCGCGACGTAAACGTGATACGATCTACGAGTGAAAAATCCAAGGATGGCACTCGTGCTCGCGAGAAGGCGAGAATCTTTCCTCGTGACAGCTTGACGACCTCGACTCCAGACGAGTCCAAGATGGCGCCACCGGCATTTTGACACTTGCCCAAGATCCGTCAGCTGGATTTTACAATCACCCCGATCCTCGTCTATTATGAGCAGAGAATTCGTGGTTTCCTGTGCACCTTACACTTATCAGGTAAGAAAATCATGTCCTCTTAATGGTCGCGAAATTGCCATAGCCGCACAGTGGGCGTCCGGCAGTTATTGCCTCCTGCCTCCTGCCTCGCCATGTCTCCTGACCGAGGACTCCGAATTGTCAATTTCTTCCGGTAACAATGAAAGGTTTTGTCCTCCCCTTTTTTTTTATACTTCAGATTTTACGACCATAATCACGCCCGGTGTCGACGCTAGCATTATTAGCTTCGTGATGCAACTTTCAATTTTGACGATCTTTTCTAATACATCTAACCATTTCGCGTTAAATGAACCACGAGTTTGTAAATTTAAAGAAATACAATGGGTGTAGAAAGTATTCGTACATCGATCAATTTCCAAAGAAACTATGAAAAATTGTAATTTATTAACTTATTTTTGATAAACAATGACATTCTACATATTCTCGGAAATCTCTAGAATAGATGGATTACAAACAAAAATAGCTATTTATGTAAGTTGCGAAATTAACAAGAAAAAAAAACAATTAATCGATAGAAATATTGAAGCAATAAGTATTCGCACAACTGTTTAATTTTTAAAACTTCATTTAAAAAAAAAGAAAAAAGAAATTTACATTAATTTACAAGTATATAGTACTTCCTTCGTGGGATTTCCTTTTGACTTTATAATTATTGTAACTTTTCCAAGCATTGAATTAAGTAAATTATTAGTTATTAGAAATTAAATAATTAGTTATTAGTTAGTGGGATCTTTTTCCATTCCTCTATTAGAACCTTTTTTTAAAAGTATTTTACTGGAAATTTGATGTTTTCTAATTCGTATGAAACAGTAAACTAATGTGTTTACTTTACAAACTCTACTATAAATGGTTCGTCATAAGAATCGTACAAGTACTTATTGCTTCTATGCTTTTGCCCACTTTTTGCATTTTTTTGTTAATTTCACAAATCATATTAATTAGTAAATGTTGTTTGGACTATATCTATCTTAGAGATTTCCGAGAATATGTAAAATATCATTGATTATAAAAAAAAGGTTAAGAAACTACAATTTCCCTCAAATTTTTTGGGGAAATTGATCGGTGTACGAATGCATTCTACACCCACTGTATATAATATATCGACTCTACTAAACGTAGGCTACACAACCTTTTTATCGGCAATTCTGCTATTCACCGGCGATAACTTTGTTATGATTGTTTGTTTGTTTGTAAATTGTTTGTCTTGACATCTGTCAACTGTCGTTGTTTATAATTGCTACACTGTATTAATTTCATAACGGGCTATGCCTGTATATATTGAAATAAATAAATAAATATACCAAACAAGAAGTTGAGTATCTATTTACACGATAATATTGTTGAATAAATTACTATCAAGCGTAGGCAGTCGTTTTAAAAATTTACTTTCCCTTGTCATAAATTAGAAAACTCGTTAATAATTTGATCAGGGCTTACTTTATCAGTATACGTGGAAAGTTATGCTCGAATATTATGATCATGTTTTCTCAAGTCATTTTTTCAATATCATTTTTGAAATAATTTCAAAGAATTATGAGACGATTATTTTTGAAGTATTGTGCGTTTATCGAACAATTTGTCAGGGATAGAATACGTGTTAGACTTTTCGAATGAAACATTAATAATAGGTATGTTACAATTATTCAAACAATTCTATGTTTTATCCCATTACATTTTAGACACTCATCTAATCGTAGGTTCCGGTTATTCGATTTGCTTATTCATATTTTACCTACACGAGAATATCATGACTCCTTTGGATTATTATCTTCTTCGAAAGAATGCCTCGTGTATTTTTATTTGTTGTGACGATAACCTCGTCTGTCATTCGTGCGTATGTGAACAAAAACTGATGTTATTCAACCGTCGACCAGTGACGCGAGTAAATGAAAACAATGAAAATGTTGCCAGTAGAAAAACGACGGTCGGTAAGAAGCGACGGGTAACGTAAGATCTCACGATGTGGAAATTGACAAGTAACCCAGGAGGAGTTTCAATTAAAATCTAATAGAGAATAACCTATATTCCGTACACCGTTTCGGTGATATTTTGAACGTTGCGATGAATAATAGTGGGTCTTCGTCGAAAAGCACCGTTTCGGAAAACGAAGTCGCTGCGTCTAATGTCGCGGAGGAAATAAATTCGCTAGCTTCCGTTGATAAGAATGCTAGGTCTATCATACGGTCTGTCAAAAGTAACATAGGCAAGAAGGTTAGTTTTGAGGTTCTATGCAACGAAAGTAAGAAAGAGAAGTATTAATTTTTCTTTAGCTCCAAAAAAGTGTTTTATCTTACGGATTAATAATTCAGTTGTCGTATTGATTTCACAGAATTCTTGTAAAGTAAATAGAACTGTATCATATTTCCTGTTTTAAATTTAAAACATTTTTTTAATGCGTATCTCCCGCTTGTATGGGCACGGTATTAGGTCTACTCGTTGTATATGTTCAGGATTATCTGCGTGTTCGGTGGTCGACAACTGAGAACGATTTTAATCGCGTGTGAAATAAGTCATGCGTTAATGCAGAATAATAATTTTTATATTATTCTGTTACATCTTCCTTGAGGTATTATGAATTAGTTGGTGAGTTTTACTAGGTGAATATAAGTCTACACACGACCTCATTGTGACTGTTTAACGTTTTTTAAATAAAATTGATAGTAAATAATAAAAATAACATCGTATCTAGACTCAATTCCATTGGAATTCTTTCGTTACTTCATTAATATTATTTTCATAAAAATGTACTGATGAACATACAAAATTTGATTTTTATTGGAGGATGGAATTACGTTTTACTACAATATATGTTTGTATTAAATCACAGAAATTTTCGGAATTGATTTTAGTACCTAGACAACAGGTTTTGTGCATTTATGGTAGATATTAATACGCAAAATGCATTCAAAACTTATGCATAATGTATATCAAATTAAAACAAAAGTAATTCTTAAATATTGATATTTTATTTTGCATATTATGAAATGTCCTTGCTGGACAAAATATATGTGAACAAAAAAATTGCGTAGGTACTTATATATAATTTATATACGTTTAGCTTATATTTTTTTATATTCGCATATACTATAAATACGTTTAATCAGCAGTTTATCGATAACGTTTATAAAGATTGTTGCGTACTAACGAGTGATGGAGGAACATAAAACATGTAACACGGGATTACGTAATATTTTTGAACGAATCCAGCTTCAGTATTTCCGATGAACAGATTAGATCAAAGCTACCGAATATCTCGTACCATTTGAAGCGTTTAATGAGACTGAAGACTGATGGAAAATTCAGAACCGGAATCGATACGAACAGATGTTCCTCTGGAATCGTCGAAATCACGGAGAGCATTTTAAGTCGTGTAATTCTGGAAACTTCTAGCGGTAAATTTTTATGATTAATGCAGACAAATTCTCAGTATATCGAAAAGTTAGTCGCCGAACTATCAAGCCTGATTTTTTCTGGGGAACAGTAGATACACGGAAAGTATTTTTCATTTCAGTTTGTTCAACCTGTGAACGTTGTTGTATTTATTGAATTTGTTATTTTAAGAGTCTTTTTAATATCCGAATAATTTTGGGAATATAATTGCTAAAGTTTTCATTTGCTGTGGAAGGAAAATATTGATAAGGAATTTCAGTGGATTGAAGTGGTGTTGTCATTCAGTGATTCGATATAAATAGTATTTATCTATTTATCATGTGGGAATAAGTTACAACATATAAAGATACAAAATGTTTACTTATTTAATCGGAATATTATACTTCAAGAAAGTGCCCAAAGTGGTAAAATTTAGATAACCTTCTCTTACACAATTGTGCAAAACTCCCTACACAATTTTCATCAATTCTATCCTAATTTTTTCAAATAAAGGATTTTTCAAAAAGAGCTATAAAATTTTATTTCTCTAATTAAACACAAGTGGTATGGAATACATCCGATTTTTGTTTATTTTAAATGAAAGTGCCAACCTACGAATTATTACATTTAAACGTGAAACGACCACGTATTTTGTTACTAGAATATAAAATTCTAAAGCACTCTTTGAAAAAAACCCTTTATTTGTTCGTACGAAACTGCTGATGGAATATTATTCGTCAGTATCCACGGTCAGTGGACAGAGTGTACCGGAAGATGGGGATTTGGTCGACTGGTCCCTGAACCAGGTGGTCGAAACAGGGTGGCGCAACGCTGGCTGTGACCCTTCACTTTATTTCACGACTCTCGATTCTGAAGGACCTTCAACCTCCACCACGTATACGGACGGTAATACACGGCACTTTGAATCGTTGATTGCGAGGGCGACCATAAAGATTTGGCTTATGCGGGTTTATCGATCATATTCCTAGTAATATTCTGCTTTTTATTACACGATCTACCAAAGAGGGGATGTATTTTATAGTATTTCATTTGTAGGGTTTATTCGATTGGACAGTTCAATTTCTGTTTGTTCCCTTTAAGGTATTTTTTTCTAAGGAATTTTCCAAATAAGGTTTCAGGAATTTGTTTTTAATAAAACACGAATGACATGGAATAAAGTTTAATTGGAATTAAATTTAGTGGAGTTTCCTTATAGCTGAAGACGAAATTGGGAACGATAGTATGAATTCGACGACTTCTACAATAGCTGTTGCTGAACCTGTTTTGATGATTTCGAATGCTATGAACACCTCTGAAGCGATGACGTCGGACACGAGATTTCTGGATATATTGAGTCGTAACACCTACGTGGCAGGGGACATTTTAGATTTTGTGGAAGCTTTGTCTATCCCTTTAGGGTAAATTGTTTATCAATCGTAAACCCTTAATCGTATAACATCGTTGGCATCGAGGAAAATTATTTGAAATAGCCACTAGTTGATAGACATTTGAATTTCTTTAATTTCCAAGTAATTATGAATGAAATTACAAGCTGTACATATTCGAGTAAATAATTTTTCACAATTTAAGTAAATAGTGTTTTCGTGTATCTTATTTTATTTTAAATAAAT